TCTATTTCCCCATCCTCATATAATATATTTGTATATGTACATGTCTTTATCTAGAGCTCTATAAATACCCTTTGCCTCCCAGCTCTTGTATTTTTAATATGAAAAACTCAAGAAAAATAGTGGGCAAAAAGACAAAGTGAAAAATTACAAATACAAATAGCCTATGTAGTATTTATAGAATTAAAAGATCTCAAACTGTCACTAAATTTTTAAATGCAAATAACAGTGGGATTGTGTTCTTACTGATCTCATTAGCAAAAGTTAGGCAAAATATACCAAGTAGGTGCAAAGCTGTAGGGGAAGAATTGCACTATAATATACAGACAAACAGAGAAGACATGATTACACACTTTTTAGAAAGTCTAACAAAAGTGTGGGCAGATATCTGCTCAGTTAGCAATTCTATTTCTGGGACTTCATCCTAAGCGTCAGAGTGAATGGACAGATGTCTAAAGATAGTCACCAGAGAAGTCTGGCAGAGCCTCCAAACAATTAAGAATTAAGAGGATTAAAAAAAAACAAAAAAGAATCAAATTGAGGGAGGGGGCAAAATGAGGAGCTGATATCAAGGGCCCAAGTAGAAAGAAAATGCTTTGAAAATGATGGACAAATGTGCTTGATACAATGAATGTATGGATTGTGATGCAAGATGTAAGAGCCTCCAATAAAAGTATTTAATAAAAAAAATTTTTTGAGAGGGTAAAGACAGCCAACAGAAAATGTGTACTTTCTATTATACTGTACTTATATTTTCTTTCTTTGAATTGAATGAGCAGACAATGAAAATATTTTAAATGCAAAAACTCCTCATAGGAATACAAGAGAACCATATGCACAGTGACATCTAAGTAAGAAGGTAAACTTGGAGGTGGCAGGACTCTCCGGCCTCTCCTGGTTCCTGGAACTACCAGAACCCTTGTAAATCCTATCGGACAGCTGTTCTGTATTTCCAAGTCCCACCTATGGACGGTGACATTCTCATGTCTGTTCTTTTCCATCAGAAAGTACTTTATTTTTTAAGACATCGTGCCAGCCATTACACAGGACACCCAGAGAGGACACAGCTAATGACCCAAAGCCTTAGCCTCAGACAGGAGGACAATTTTAAAAGAAATACAACAAAGTGCTATGCACAGGAAGTATTTAAAAACAGGAACTGTAAACAAAGTACTTTAGACATTCAAATGAAGTGAGGAGATTGGTTAAATTTTCATTAAGGCAAAACCTTTCTTTCACAGGGAGAGAGAGCATTGAGGTATTCCTGGTGGGGGCAGACCAGATGCCCAGACAGGAGCCTGCGTGCTGGGGCGCCCTGATGAGAGGAGCGCTGTGCTGACAGCAAAACACAACAGAGGTCATGCTGGAGGGGGGCTTCCAGAAAAGCAGGTTTTGCAGAGGCCTTAAAAGCTGATTGATGACTCTGAGTGTATTTAATTTAGAATGTTATAGTAAGAGTTATCATCAGAAGAATTTTAAAGAGGGAGGAGTATTTTCCACAGGAAAATGCAAACTTTCTCAACTTTTGCTACGTAAACTACTGTTCAGTGGCAATTGCAAAAGTGATGCTAGCCTTTTTATACTTATTTTCATATTTTTAAATAGAACATTGATTAAAAAAAAAAGCTCAGACAGAAACAAAGTCCAGTACTTACTAGCTCCAAATATCTGAGTTAAAATGCTTTTCTGGTGGCTGCAGTCAATGTTGTAAGGGGTCTCGCCAGCTTTATTGGGCCTATAAAGTAATCGTCCATCCTTAGGATTTCTTAAAAGCAGTTCGGCCAGTTTCCGACTCCTGCCCCGGATAGCGATATGCAAGGGAGTATCTCCTTTCTGTAAAAGAATGGGAGAAAACAAGAACGTGTGCATTTTTATATACTGGTGTGTTTTATGTGTAGCAACAAGGTTTGTGCTTCTGTAAAACAGAAAATCAGAGCTTTTCATGTTTTAGGAGTATGTATATATAATGTTATATACACATTTCAATAGAGCATACAAGGAAACTTCAAAAACGTTGGTGAAAATTTTTCATTGTCTTTTTATTCTAGATTCCCCACAAACTTTTTGAAGCCCCTCTCATTCATAGAAGTTAATTTTTTATTGCTATCCTTATCCACAATTTCTTTCTCTTCACTCCTTGCTTTGCTTTCTCCCCAAATTCTTCAGGACTAAGTTGCTTTTCTCTCTCTCAGCCTACTCACAGAAGACAAAGACAATTCCCAGCATACTGGTCCACATTTATTATAGGTTGTTTATCTATCATCCAAGCATTTACTGTCCAAGAACATAAACTGCCTTCCTCAACAAACGCGTATTCCGTTTCAGTTTTCTACTCTATTTGTGTAGCGAGCTTCAAAATCAATTCTGCTACCCCATGTAGCATTAGTGAGCTCATCAGTTTCTCTGACCTGTGTCCATCGTCCTCCATTATGGTGTGGCTGTGGTCGTCGTGGTTACAGGATGCCATAGTCAGTGTGAACTCACAGCAAGCCTGTGCACGCAGAAGGAGACACTGCCCAGGCCTGAGCCTCCTCACAACTGCCCCCAGACTCGAGCCCCTTGGGGCAGCTTCATTAGTCTACCTTCTGATCTCCCAGTCCTGCATGTTGGATTTCACCTTCTCTGACTACAATCTCCAGCTCTCCTCCTCCTCACCTCGCTTAGCACCACGCTGCCCGGCATCAATCTACCCTATGCCTTTAGAGGACCTCCAGCCATCTCGATGGGCCCTTCTCTTAATCTGCTGGCTTCACCAGCTACCTCAAGGCCATCCTCTCCAACGGCCTGATGCCCCACCCCAACCAGAATCACAGGGCTCCTCCACAAAGGTATCCAGTTCTTTTTGCCCTCCTTGCATTCTTGTTCTCTGTATTCTCGGATCCCACTGCTAGACTGATTCCATTATAAAATCCACTCAATTCAGACATTTACTGCATTCTGCATGCAAGTAGTTCACAATGGAGTGGGAAAATGTTAGGACAACAGGAAATGACTATTTGACATGGTAAGAGAGAGAACAAAGGCTTGTGAAATGTTCTGTTGGGATGCAGGGACCAAGGGGTGTGGGGGTGGGGTGGGGTGGGGGGTCAGTCTATAAATGTTGAGTTGGAAAAGTTGTGTCACATACATTTACAACAATGGCAAAAAAAGAGCAGTTGCTCCAAAACCCTCACTGCTGGTGAGTCAATGCTGACTCACAGGGAACCTACTGAACAGAGTGCAGAGTGCAGCAGGCCCAGTGGGTTTCTGAAACAATATTTATGGGAGTAGAAAGCTTCACCTTTCTCCCACAGATCTTCTGGTGGCTTCGAACTTCAGACCTTGTGGTTATCAGCCCACTGCATTAACGACTGCCCGTGAGTAGCTTCTCTACAACCAAATGCCTCATGGGGTGGGTTCCTTGGTCTAGACATTTAGAGTCAGGAATTTAGGGCCTCGGGCTGTCCCAGTAATTCGCTCAGCAATATGCTCGGTGCCTCTGCTCTCCCTCGGAATTGGAAGTGCAGTGGCTGGGGCCTTACACCTTTGCAAGCAGCCGTTTGTGACACACAATTGCTCTCGATTCCCCAGGAACAGCAGAGGAAGGAGGAGAGTCAGGAATAGGAGGAGGTATGTTAAGTGGGGCTAATTGTCTCCATGAACAACTGCTTCCTTCGCCAAGGATCATAAGAACAATCTGGTGTCCAGTTATCAACTGAACATTCTGATCAGTTTCCATATACAAATTCTGATCAAAAGACGGAAACTACAGAAGACCATTTCGAATTCTTAGAGTCTACACATTCTGGGGCCATGAAAGTTGGATGAACCCCTGAAACGACTGCCCTGAGATCATCTTAAAAACTAAACCCAAAATATACCCTGGTGGCTTCTTAAACCCCAACAACCCTTCTGCTTACTTAGTAAAAAATGTCTGCCCCGGACTTATGTTCTTTAAAGGCCTGTCTCTGTGGGATCAAACTGACCACAGCACTCAGAGGGTGAGCGGGCAGTGAGGGCATGTCAACAGGAGAGGTGTGACGCAGAGAGTGGGTGACAGCTGGTGGCACAATGAGGAGTGGAGAAATGGGTGACGGACTGTATGCTCTGCAGTGCACGGTCACAACAATAAGATAATGCAACATACTTGCCTGTCCAATTCCCAGCAAGCTAACAAAATAACCATAAAGGTACTGTAGCATCAAGATCCCACACAGATATTCCCCAATACAAAATCCCCCCTGGCTCACAAAACAATCCTGTCGACACAGGGCCAGACAGCGCTCTGAGAAAGAGAGAGAGAGCGCGCGCGAGCGCTCACCTTGTCCACAGCAGACACCTTCGCCCCCTTGTCCAGCAGCAGCTCCACCACCTCAATGTTTCTCATCTTGGTGGCCTTTATAAGCGGTGTCTCGCCATCCTGTGGGCAAAGGAAACGTTTGTGAGATTAATCGCTTTATTTCTAAACACTTAAAGTCATACATACATGCAAGTATTTGACTATCTTACTCTGTTAAATAGTCCATATTACAAATGTTCTTAAAAAATGATACTTTTAATCACAAAAAAAGTGCTTGTCCTTTTAAGACCAACCATTTGTATCAAACTGATTTACAGTGTTCGACCAAGAAGGAAATGTGCCAAATCAAACCAGGCAACAGTTTCCTCACAAGCTGACCCTTATGGCCCGGCCCAGCTACACTGATTTCTGGAGCTGCTTCTCATTCTCACTACTACCCACTGTCCAACCACAGAGTTCCGCTGTGAATGCCCAAGCAAACCAGTGTCTACCTTTCTTTACAAATCTATACCAGCATCACTTTAATACTGTGACTTACATACAACAGAGGAAACCACTGGAAACAAACAATATGCCTTTAGAAAACTTCAAAGAGGGTATTGTTGCTTTCAAAACCCAAATTAAGGGAAGCATGGTGAAATCACAGTTCAGCGCTGAATTAAGAAAGGAGCAAAGCATGATCAGAAGCAACAGATGGTCACAGGGGTTAACACGTGTCCAAAGAAGGAATGTTTAAAAAAAAAGAATTTGAAGAACTACCTGCAAGCCAGAAGGTGTCCCAGGAAATTCCCTGCCCTCCGGTACTGAAGCTACGGTCATTGGGTTAGAAATACGTTGGTCCTGATCTCTAGCAGAGGAAACGGGGTGGCCTTATGGGCAAGTTTACAATTTTTCTCCATTCAGTATGCATTTTTGCCATGCCATTTCAAGTCAGACCCCAACGTGCAACACCCTGACACTGCAGATGTCACACAATATGAGCAGAATCGGCCGTTCACAGTGGTCTTCTGAAAGGCAGCGTGTGTTCTGGGCCACAAACCACAAAAGCATGTTGGAAAGTATCTGCTGACAGTTATACTGAAGAGCTTACATTGTTCCTTCCGAGTGGATTTAACTGAAGTAACAAACGAGACACCGCACTTCACTGTGAATACACAATTCTTTTAAAGTGTGTTGTCTGACTTACAGCTTACATTAATAAAAACTGTGGCAGTGTCATTCTTACACCAAACAAAGGTGACAGGAGGACAAAAGCAAAGCAGTGCTGTTCCCACGTCAGACAGAGCTCACTCGCAGTGTCGACGGGTCTGTATACCTTTGTGCAGATCTCCGTGTCCGGGTTGCACTGTAAGATATCTCTCACCATCGTTGCATTTCCTTTCTCAACAGCCCAATACAAAGCCGTCTTATTGTCCTAAAAAATAAAAACCATGTTACAGATTGAGGTGTGTCCCAAAAAACATGTTGTAAATCCTAACTCCACTTGCTAATGTGTTTGGTCAAGTTGACCGTATCAGTCTCATTAATCTTGCCAGAGATACGAAAGAACAGGTTAAGTAAAGAAGGAAAGAAACAGAGATGAGCACACAGGCACTAGGTCACATAAAGCCAAGGACCTTCCCTTAGTGCCCACAGAGAGAAAACACCTTTCTCTACAACTCATCCTCTGAATTCAGACTTTCAGGCTCCAAAACTGTGAGAATGCAGATTTATGTTTTATAAAGCGCCCCCTTGTGATAGTTCTGCTAGAGCAGCACTAAATAACTAAGACATGTATCAGCAAACACTTCATGTAAGACAGGGTACTACAAAGTACTATTTGTAAAACATGATGACTAACAATCCTACCAGAAAGCATTCACAAACCTGTCCCACAGTTAGGTAACATAGTGAGAGGTAATATTAGTTCTTATTCTATCTTGGACTTACTTCAGTAATTTATTATGAAAGAAGTCTTATAAAACTTTAATATTACTTGGCTTTAAAAATCAGCAACATTACAGAGGTTAATAAAATATGCTTTTTGTAATGCAAGTCTATTTTAGGAAAGTACACTGGGTTAGAAGTCATTGAGGTGTAAGCTTTGTCATTTTGGACACACTACCTCAATATCCTTACCTGGGGCTTTACAGTTATACTATACTTGTCTGGTTTTTTGTGGGGGGGTTTGATTTTCAAAAGATAACAAGAGAATATATTGCCCAACCATATTGCATCATAATTGTCATAATTTTAGTGTTCTAACATTCATCCTCCCCACAATTATATACTTGGTCTTGATCAGATCATTTAAGTTCCCATCAAGCTCAAAAACCAAAAATAGAGCCCCGGGACCTTAAAAGCAGAGCTAAAAGGGAAAGAAAAAAAACATTGAAGAGTATATGATTGTCAGACAAAAGAGTTAGCTAAAACTCTTGAGTCTAGATACATCTTTCAGTGAAAACGTGATTTTAACCCAATTAAACAGTGCATGGCTTTCTGTGGCTCCAACATTGATTCCCATATCAAAATGTTCCTAATGGAACTCCTTTTCGCTAAATGTAAACTTGTTCCCCACATAGCATAGCACTCAAGACTCCCCCTCTGACCCTCATGCCCTTTCCATTTCCAATTTCCAACCTCCTCTTCCACTCCAATGCCAACCTAACTGATTCAACACCTACAGAGTACAGCCTTTCAAATTCCTATTCTCTTGAAATTTTTATTTTATTATTCTGCTAGCCTTGCCTGAAATAGCCAACTCCTCTTCTTTATCTAAATCCAACTCGCCTTTCAAACTTGGCTCAAATCTTCTCTCTCAAGAGTCTTCCTGAGTGTCCTTTTCCTCCTCTCGAGACCGACACCAAAGCTTTCGTGATGGAGTCCACTGCTGACCACTCTGTGCCTCACTCTTTCCTTCCCATGCACTGCCATAGGGTTATGTATTATAAAGAGTGTGCGTGCATGTGTGTGTGTGTGTATACTCAAGTATAAGCCGAGTTTTTTAAGCATTTTTTATGCTGAAAAAGCCCCCCAGTTTTTTGTGGTAAAATTAGGTGCCTTGACTTATACTAGAGTATAAACGGTATATCCAAATAAGCATAGAGTAATCACAATTTTCCACTCTAAAATATGTCTCTTTTTTTAAAATCATTTTATTGGGGGCTCGTACAACTCATCACAATCCACACATATATCCATTGTGTCAAACACATTTGTACATTTGTTGCCCTCATCATTCTCAAAACATTTTCTTTCTACTTGAGCCCTTGTTATCAGCTACTCATTTTTTCCTCTCCCTCCCCACCCACCACTCCCTCATGAACCCTTGATAACTTATAAATCATTATTATTTTGTCATGTCTTACACTGTCCGACGTCTCCCTTCACCCACTTTTCTGCTGTCCGTCCCCCAGGGAGGGGGTTATATGTAGATCCCTGTAATCGGTTCCCCTGTCTACCCACCCCTTCCCTCCACCCTTCAGTTAAAATATGTATTTCTTAAAGGCAGTAGTCCTTTGTTATTTTCAACATAGCATGTTGCAAAATCATACATTGGTTTGATCTACACACAAGAGAACTGGGGTTAAATACATGGAAAATTAGCAGAAATATAGACTGTGCAACAATAACAACAACAAAAATGGGCTATCAAGCATAGATTTTTTTTTAATCTAATACTCGTAGACAAATACATCACTTGGGAAGGATTGTTCCTAAAATTCACATGGTTAACACCTACCTAATTCTAACTTATTATTACAGAATATCCAAACAACAGAGAAACATAATGGTAATATAGCATCAATTAAGTAAAGTTCATCTCCATAGTAAGGTCTGTAAAATGACATGATGGGTAGTTACCATGAACAACTTATTAGACCCTAAAATAACAGCCGGGCCGGTAATCAAACGTACCTGTCCTCGAATGTCTATATCTGCGTATTTTTGTAGAAGTGCTCGAACAATTTCAACATGACCCCCTCTGACAGCACCAATCAACACAGTATCTCCACTCTAAGAACAAACCCAAAAACCACAAACTTAAAACAAGGTGAACTGATGAGAAAAATAAACACTTTTAAATTAAAAAGTTAATCTTTTTCCTGAAAATCACTTGAAAAAGCTTACTATTTCAAAATGAGAGGGGGGGAAATGCATGTTAATACTTGGTATTAATAACCCTAAAATAAGGGACAGAGGACGGTATACGTCAAATTGAGGACTCTGAAACTTGATGGCAAAAAAAAAAAAAATGCTGAATGACAAGTTGCCCAGAGTAAGCATGGTCTTTGAATGCAACTCCCCACTGCAAATATGTCAAATCATTCAATCCTATGGCGGCCAGGACACAGGATGAACATTCATCGATTAGGCAATAAAAATCTCCTGGGATGCTATACAATGAACACCACGGATTCTAAGAATGGAGTGGTGAGGCAAGAGCTAGGAGCAGTGATGGGTCAATGGCAGAGTCCCACTTTCCATGCAAGAAGTTCCAGGTTCGATTCAGAGTCAATGGAACCCGTCCCACCACCACCAATTCATCAGAGAAGGCTTCCGTGTTGGGACCTACAGTGTTTAGCAGATTTTACCTAAAGATCGAGGCTAAGGCAAACTAGAATTAGTTCAGAAAAGCAGTCAGTGAAATCCCAGTGCATAGCCCTTCAGTTAAAACATCATCTTTTTTTTTTTTTAAACATCATCTTAAAATTAAAAACAAAACCAAAAAAACCCCCGAGATGCCCTGCGTAAGAATCTTAAAAGGCAGCAAGAAGTTAAAGGAATTTTCCATCAACTTCACCATTAGAGAACAAATTTCAAATCGCTAGCCTACCCTGTCCGGAATGTTCACATACGTGCCGGCGTCAAGCAGATCCTGTACAATCTCTGTGTGGCCTTCCTTCGATGCAATCATCAGAGCTGTATTGCCATCCTTATCTGTTAAATTCACATTTGGATTCCTCTTCAAAATCTCTTTTACTGATTGTGTGTAGCCTCCTTTCACTGCTACAATAAGTGCAGTCATTGAATTCTAGAAAAATGTAACGAAAGTCCCACCCAAAATTAGTTTATTCTGAAAAACATGATTTACATGCCAAAATCATAAAACTGTCATTTTCAAATTGGTGATCGTTAATCCAATAACATAGCAATACAAAATAATCAGGTGCATACAAAAAGGGCAACATTTCATTCTGAAGCTACATTCATTCTCTGAAGCCATTAAGGTTCTGAGGGCTTTCAAGTCTTTGAATGACCGTCCGAAAGGGGCTCATGTACAGAGTGAAACCCTTTTACTGAGGTATATAATACATAGTTGACAGGATGACTCAAAATTAAACAATGTATTCTAAATAAAGCAGTCCAAAAGAAGAAGAAGCTGACTCCAATCTAAGTATTTTTTAAAATAAAAATCTATAGGAGAAACTGAAATAAAACAAGAAGCAAACAAACTATTCAGAGATATTTCAAGAAAACTGTTAACATACTCTTGTATCTTTCATAATGATCCAGTTTTCCAAATGTCTTATTTTAAGTGACTCTCTTTAAAAATGCCTACCTTGATCTTGTATCTGTTTTGAGCTCTCTAACAATTTGCATTTGGAAGTATTTCGGTTTGGGATCAGCTCCCCAAACGAATTCACGTAGTGTTTTCCAGCTGCTCAACAAGTCGGTAATCAGGCAGTAATCACAGAGCCGAGTCACCCATGTTTAGCACAAGGGGAAAGCCATGTGTAACCTGCTCTGGTATCCCCGGCACAATCGGCACAGAGCTGGTTACAAAGTTAAACACAGCAAACTCCCTGCCATCGAGTCAACTCCAACCCATCGTGACCCCACAGGACGGAGTGGAATGGTCTCGTGTGTGTTTCTGAGACTGTAACTCTTTGCAGGGGTAGAGAGACTCCTATCTGTCTCAAAGAGCAGGTGGCAGTTTCAAACTGCTGACCTTGTGGTTTGCAGCCCAACTCACAGCCCCTGTGGGTACAGAATGAAGAACTAACCACCTCATTTGCAGCATGTCTAAACCAATTTTGAAGCTTCCTAGATTTTGACAGTTGATTCTGATTTTTATCAGTTGATCAAAGAGGTAAAATAAGTCTAAATCTATTTTTAAGTTATAATGCCATTTTAAAGAAAGGTATTTTATAAAGCATAACTTTTTTAACATTAAGAGCTTTTCAATCAATTGGAAAAGTATTCAATTTATACTAAGATAACAGACAGTAGAATTAATCACAAGCAATGAATTCACTAAAGTATGTATTTGTATATACAATATTGATAATAAAACCTAGTTATCAGGATAGTAGAGAGGCAAGGCTCGTTGTTCTAAGCATCATTTAAGAACTAGAGGGAAATGTTTACATGCATATACTAAAGAAAATCATTTCTCATAAAACCCAAGCCTCTTCTTACTACAAAGGATTCTCATGTGAAAGATACTCACAGCGCCCTCCTGATCCACATCAGCCCCCATGGCCAGCAGGTGCTTGACGCATTCCAGGTGACCCTTGCGTGCTGCCCACACCAAAGGGGTGGTGCCGTACTACACACACAACAAATGAGAAGCAGAGATCATGATCAGAGATCGACCAAAAGAAGCACAGTGTAGACATAATTCGAATAGAAATCACTCTCGGGACCCATAGATACTTGTTTATACCAATTATAGTTTTGTTCTTAGATAAAACATTTTACCATTTCATTTCTGTGTCTAACCACCACATGAATGTCATTTATTCAACTCCCGGTAACTTTTTAAATACATGATAATTTCTCCTTTATAAAGTCATGAAACTCCTAATTTTCAGCTAAGTTCTCATTACTACCCATGGCCTACAGAACAGAATTAAAGTGTATACTCTGACTCTAAACTTAAACAGGAACCATCAGGTGCCGGACACAGCTGTGAGCACCTTACATGGGTTAGTGTATTTAATCCTTACCACAATTTTATAACATTTCCACTGATGAGAAAGAAAACCAGGTCTTGAAACTGGAAACACTACTAACAGGTGGACTGAGACCCACAAACCCAGCAAAGTTGGCTTCTGAGACCGCACCAAATCAGCTCCTATACTTGATGGCATAAAGTCAACGTCAGCCTAGACATTGACTCAAAAGTACCTTTCACAGAAACATGAGTTCAAAGAAAGCAGTACTGTACCTTTGAGGAATCTGACAATCAGTAAGTATATGAATGTTCAGTGATGTTACATGAGATATCTTAAATTGAAATGCGCATTTAATGTCCTACGTCATTCAATATTTTACCCGTAGAATACTTTAGTACTGCAACGAGGCTTAAAATGTCTCTTCAATCCTTTTAGTTTAAGAAATGTTGAGCACATTTTGTCCCTTTTGGCTTTCTACATCGAGGTCTTTGCACATTTCATCACAATACTCCATCTTCTCGATCTGCCCTGCATCCTTTCCTCCCATCACTTTAGCTATTTCAGAGTTGCCTCCATCTGTTGGCTTGCTTTTTATCTTTTTCACTCTTCTTATAGAGCTGACTTTTTTCTTTTCTTAAAAAACTGGACAACACAATATTTCGTTATAATTTATATTCTTTCCTCAGTCCCACATCATTCCTCTTTTTAATGACCTTCTGGTTTCTTCGTATCTGATGTCTCTGATATCATCCTACAATTCTGACGGTCTTTGTTCATGCCTCCTGTGTCAAGTCTATTCTTGAGATGGTATCTACACACTAGCAGGATGTATGGAAGACCAGACCCAATGGCCCTTTGGCTTGACGAACTTGCTTTGATTTTCTCCAGTTCCAACTTGAACTTGCCCACGAACAACTGACAGTTTGTTCCGCTGTCAGCCCCTGGCTGTGTCTCTTCAAAGGATACCGAGCTGCTCCATGCTCAATAGTCCATTTGATTTCTGTGTCATTCCCCAAGATCCGTGTGCATAGTTGTCAATTATGTTGTTAGAAAAAAAAAAAAAAGGTACTTCTGATGAGGAGCTGTTGAAGCAGAACTTTAATCACGTTAGCTCTGATATCAGTTCTATTACAAAAGCCATGTGTTCCAACTTTCACATCCCAAACACCAATACTTATCAATACATCTTAAGGGAATGTTTCATCAATTTCTCACTGCAGTGTGTCATAAAAATAGTCAATGTCTCCATCTTTGACATTCAAGGGGAATGTGCAAATCTGAGTAACAGTTACATTAACTAAACTTCCTCGTAAGCACACAAATAGGAAACTATCAGATCATGTTGTACTTCGGGTTTATCTAGAAATGTTCTTTTTAACAATGAATACAAGGTCATTCGGCTTTACTTTGTTGTTCCTGCCTGCCATAGATCATGATTGTTGGATTTGAAACAGGAAAATTCCAGTTCATTTCAGCTAACTAATGTTTAAGGCACCTATCTCCATGCATTCCATTTCAGCTTCTGTTCTTTTTTTTTTTTTTTTAATTATTGTAGTGAAAAATTTAAAGAACACAAAATTTGCCAATTCAACACTTTTCATGTATGAAATTCCATAAAATTAAGTGTAACAGTCACGTTATCAACCTTCACCAAAATCCATTGCCAAATTTTCCATCCCCATAAACAAAATCCCTACACTACCTGAAAACTCACACACACACACACACACACACACACGCATACCTGTTCCCCTTATTCTAATAATCAGTGTTGTCCTTAGGTGTCATTGATCAGTTCTATGTACAACAGAACAAACACACACTGCCCGGTCTGCACCAGCCTCACAACTGTTCCTACACCTCAGCCCATTGTTGCAGCCAGTGTCCACCTATCTCCTTAAGGGCTTCCTCTCCTTCACTGCCCCTCTCCTCTACTTAGCATGATGTCCTTCTCCAGGGGCCAGTCTCTCCTGACAACACGTCCAAAGTACATAAGACATGGTCTCCCCATCCTCACCTCTAATGAGCACTCTGGCCTTACTTCTTCCAAGACAGACTGCCATGTCCTTTTAGCAGCGGCCAGCACCACAATTCAAGTGCGTCAATTCTTCTTTGTTCTTCTTTATGCAGTGTCCACTTTTCACTTGCATATGAGGCAATTAAAATACCAAGGCTTGGGTCAGGCACCCTAGGCCTCAAAGTAACATCCTTGCTTTTCAATACCCTGAAGAGGTCTTGTGCAAATTTACCAAGTGCAATGCATCCTTGGATCTCTTTTAACTGCTGCTTCTCTGAGCATCAATTAAGGACACAAGCAAGACAAAAACCCTTTCTTCAGTGATATTCCACACTGAAGGCTGCAATCCTTGACCTTCATCAGCAAGTGCTTCAAGTCATTAGTAAACTCTAACCTCTATACCTTTACTTATCCTCCAAAGATCCCAAACTCACTGCCATTGAGTCATTTCCAATTCATAGTGACTCTATAGGACAGGGTAAAAATGCCCCTGTGGGTTTCAGAAACTATAGCTCTTTGTTGTACAGAAAACATCATCTTTCTCCTGAGGAACAGCTAGTGGTTTCGAACGGCTGACCTTGCGGTTAGCAGTCCAACATGTAATCACTATGCATTTGTCCTTTTGTGATGGGCTCATCTCAGTCAGCTGAGTGCTTTATCCACAGTTCATCCCTGCTGTGGCATGCATCTGATTTGACTTTCTCCTTACTTCTGAATCAGATTCCCCTGTATGTATAAACTACGGTGTGTCTGTCCACCTTTGAGGCACAGGTAAGTTATGTCTATTTTGTAGTCGTTGTGACTCGTCCTCTGGAGAACACCAGTGGGCCCGGGGTTGTGCAGGCCCCTGCGGTCAAGTCTGTTGGGCAGATACCCAGGACAGGACTCGCCGAGCCACCTGTGAGCTTTGACACTGAACTCTCTGAGCAAACACCACAGCATTGCCCATTTCTGACAACGTCCAGTCTCCCTTGGCTCGCACTTCGTGGCGACATGCTGTCACTACGGGATGTTTATCTCCGTGATAATGATGAATCCAATCTAATATCAGAAAGACAGCAATAGATGCTATGTATAAAGGTATCCTCTGTGAGATGTATGTCTCCATAAAGTACACTAGCATGAATAAATATAAGACACATATGGCCATTTCATAAGATCATATGAAAATGCTTACACACATAGACACATAAGCTGTGTTATCACACCTACCTTATCAGAGCAGTTGACTTTAGCACCATGTTGCAGTAAAAGATGCACTATGTCTGCATGGCCTCTCCCTGCTGCCCAAATGATTGGGTAAACACTGTACTGCTGGGATAGAAAGGCAGGTGGGCAGGGAGAATGGAGGCACAGGGTCAAGGAGGAGAGGCAAGGGAAGAGAGGAAGAGAAAAGAGAAACAGCATCTTTTAGGGTGATGTTTGCAGACGGATTTGCTGAGGAGCATGAATGTCAGAGGGAATAATAGCACAGAATCAAACCACACCAAATACATGGCCATCACATCACCTGCGACTCATGGTGACCTACAGGGCTTCAAGGGCTGTCAATCCTCACGGCCACAGACAGCCTCCTCTTTCTCCCATGGAGCGACGTGTGGGTTTGAACCACTGCAACCTTGTGGTTAACTGCCTAGCGCTTACCATAGAGCCGCTTCTTAACACAAAGTATGTTTTTAAAAACCAGTTAAAAGTTATTCTCTACTTTAGAAACACAAAATACTCAGCAGACCACTCAATTTCAAATAAATATATATTGTGAACACATTTACTTTTATAGATTTAACACATTCTGTGTGATTAGAATAATAAGAGGAAAATGCAATTTTTCCTCTACAGTCCTTTCATTAACTTGAGTAAAACAGCCTAAATATTCAGTCTGACATACTCTTAAGCAAATACTAATGCCTGTATTAACATTTTTCAAAATGTACAGGAAAGTGGTATGCAAATTGACAAATGCTTAGACAAATGTTTTCTTTCGAGTTCAGATTAAAACTGCAGTGTCACATAAAACAGGCTAGATAATTAAGGATTTCAGATTCTCTTTTTGAAATGCTACATGGTTATTTATAGATAACAATAGAGGCTCAAAATACTGCCTCTGTATTGGTAACTTAGCTTGAGAAAATTTCTCATTTCTGTTTTAAAATCACAATCTAATCTAATTATAATCTTTAATAAAACATAAACAGTGTCTATCTACTATGAAGTCTAAAGTATGATTGGGGGTAGATGTTTCCTAAAGACAACCTGCCACTTACATGCAAATGAACTTTTTGGTAGTACTTACCAGACCAGTGACACTTGGATTGGCCCCATGAGAAAGAAGCAAGTCTACTACATCAGTGCGCCCTTTGTAGCATGACCACATGAGCGCTGTCCAGCCTCCCTAAAGAGACAAAGGGAGCGAAATAAAAACTCTGCATCTTCCCCACCGAGGAAGGTCCGCTATAAGTACTCTTCCTAGAACCATAGCTTTATGGAAGCAAAACAAGGAAAATATGAAGGCAGATCTTTCGATCCTACAAATGATTACTCAACTCACAAGTTTGGACTACCTCTGGAAGTCATAATAGGAAATATTTATAATGACCTCCCCCACATTCCTAAAATCTCTTTTCATTGTATCAAATTTTTTCTCTAGAAAAACTTCTAAGGCGTTTGACTTCTCTTCCTTGTATGAGCCCACCCGTTGCCCAGAGAGGGAGTCCGGTGGTCAGACTGCCTCCTGCATTTAAACACAGCCTTTTAAATCTCAGAGCACTCCAGTCTCTCTTGCTAAGTCAATGACCATGACGACTGTGAGTAGAGAAGATAATCTAGTAAGAACCCAGAACATGATGCATCCATTGTCGAAGCTGCAGGAGCAATTTCGTTAGCCATTATGCAAGGCCATTATTATCAAATCATACTAAGGAATAAATGTTTTCAGGTTTTCGTTATTTTTTTAAATTAGTACCTGAGCAAATCTGCGTTTGATTCTGAGACCATACATCACTTTATCTTTCTAATTCTGTTTTTAACAGCTAAACGGGAATTTAAAGATAAATAAAATAAAAACCTCTTGACCTTGCCTGGAAGAGGTAGGACTAGACAGAGAGCAAGCAGGGGTTGGTGAGCAGGGCGGAGGCGGGAGGCTCTGAGGGTCTGATGGTACATGCGCAGCATGAGGGATAGCTGGCATGATGAAGTCCTCCGTAGGCACCTCTCACGGGCACAGAACACTGTACATTTGTCAAAACCCACAGGGATGTGCGACTCACAAGTTTAACTGTATGTAAATTATCAAAAAAACCCAGGCTGTGGAGGAGACACACAATGGGTCATCTATCTAGCTGTATTACACACAATTACTTAGAAGTTAGCCAAAGAAATTTTGGAAAACAATCTTTTTTTACTGGGTATTGTAATGCTAACGATAAAAAAAACAGCTGTATATAAACACTGCATTATTAGATCAATCTGATGCTCACCAAGTATAGGTTAGTGATTCTGAAACGGGGAAAAAGTAAAGAGGACCATTTTATAAAGTCCAATTTATAAATGTAGAAAAATAAGGGAGATAGAAAATTACCATTATAACAACACAGTAACAATTACTGCAGGCAGAACTCATGGATAAATGCTAAAAGGAGTAAGTGAACATGAAGCAAAAGCAGGCTATTTGTATAACTTATTATTAAAATATCTTCCCCTAAATAAACTGTGATTAAAGACATAGTACAATTTCCTAGAGCAGAACTCCAGCACAGATGTTACACCTGAGCCCAGAGAGCCAGGCAGCAGTGCAGTGAATACACAACACAGGCAGCACTCCACAAAGGCCCATCACCACCGGCATCCTTCTCCAAAACGCACCATCTGAACTGAAGCCCGAGAAACTTAACATAAATCCAACCCGAGGGCCATCCTACAAAGATCTGACGAGTATTCTTCAAAAATAGCAAAGATGTTAAAAGTTAAGACTTACACGACTTATTTAGGGCAAATTATAGTATTGGGCATTTCTAACACTTTTTAGTTGGGTCAAGTTTACAGACAGCTTTATTTTCCCCAGAACTTCACCTCACGCTCATAACCACACTTTCATTTGCATAATACCCCCTATGCCAGACGCTATGAGGGAAACACGTAGCCTTGAAACAATGATGTCCAAATTCACAAAACGAAGCAATTGGAGTCAATCATTCTTTAAGACCTAGTGTTTCACAAACACCTTCTTCAGTTTGGTGTCAACTCAAGTTCCTCCGGAGAAAGGATCGCCCTGCGGCATCTTCCTGACCTCAGCCCTCACTCATCTCTTGGCCGTACTTTCCAGATCCAGCAGTCCTCTGAGGTTCGGTTCCCTTCACAGTGACTACTAGGGGACACAAAGCCTTCCATTTCTCCAACTCTGGGAAATTCAAAGGCAAAGGGAAATACCCTTTCAATGTTAAAAGGCTTCGGTGAAGTACTTTGGAGAGACAGGAAGACGTACAGAGAGCCATAAAGTTTGAGGACTCCTAATCCCACATTCATAACGTACTTTCATATTTCTAACTCCCTTGCTAATTCGTACAGCGGAGTGGGACAGGAGAAGGGTTCTGCAGTAAGGCAGACCTGGGTTCAAAACCTCTTCTGATTGCTTCCCGCCTGTGTGACTTTGAGCCAAGATGAACTTTGCCCTGTCTCAGTGTCCGGGACTGTACTCTGAGAACAAAACTTACCCTCAGTACCTGGACTGTTCTGAAGAACAAGGACTATGGTCCAAAACATAGGAGTCTCATATTAATGCAGCTGATAGATTGGGATGGTTCCTTTCACCCCACACTGAGAAGCAAGCAGCCCCCTGCATTGCCCTGCAGCTTCATGCACCAATCAGGTTAGTAGCCACATTTGACTCGCAGGTATCATATTACCTTTTCTGTAGGTTACTGTCATTATTATCTTCTCCTGGCCTACTGTACAGCACTGTGGACTTTTACGCAGTATTTATAAACATTGATTGAAATTTTTAAAAATAAATAGGTAAGATACTGTTTTCAGAATCGCCCTATAAAAATGACCATTTCGTTACTTTGGTTATAAACCTACCAGGATGGAGGTAAAACGACAGTGAATTATTCTACACAATGAAAATACAAGGTGCTGGAACACTGCCATTTCGAAAGCCAGATAACGTGTGCTCTACAGAAGGGGTCTCCGTAAGTAGCACATGTCTTGCACACTCAAGAGGCTAGCTATTTCACAGAATAAATTCATAAGAAATTATTCCCTTTTTTCACCTCTGTACTTTAACCAGGCACTAATTGAAATACGAGCTAAGTGATAATTAAGAATCATATCTCTTATAACTTTTAATGTGCACAGATAGCATGCCTGAATAGAATTACATATTACAAAGGAACTTACAAGTGTGAACCCTGAAAATTGTCACATTAAACAGAAAGAGTTTTTGATCTAAATTACATCCCCCTTAAAAATTTTCTCTAAAAGAAACAGTTTGTTCAAAAGTTCTAAAACACTGATATAGAGCTAAAGAGTAATGAGTTCTTTTTAACAATATTTCAAAATGTTTTACTCTGAAATAAACTTAAGATGATGCCCAGAGATAGTCTAATGCAGGGGTCCTCAAACTTCTTAAACTTTAAAAGGGGGCCAGTTCCCTGTCTCTCAGACCCATTGGAAGGCCGACTATAATTTAAAAAAAAAACTATGAACAAATTCCTATGCACACTGCACACATCTTATTTTGAAGTAAAAAAATAAATGGGGCAAAAACACCCGGTGGGCTGGATAAATGTCCTCGGTGGGCCACATGTGGCCCCCGGGCCATAGTTTGAGGACGCCTGGTCTAAAGGACACATGACAGGACCTTGATGCGAAAACCTTCCTTCAAGCCTCTCACTGCCCAGTCCCACATCCTAAACACACCACCTTACACATCAAAGTATGTTATCACCTCACACGTTAGCACAGGAGTCTACACACATCTATTACTGCTAGCTTGATCTCGGCTAACTAGTAGGGCAGCATAATGACTGACAGACATACCATATCTCGGTGCTCCAAATTAGCCCCACAATTAAGAAGTTCCTCCACGATGTGCACATGTCCTTCTTTAGCAGCTGACATAAGTGCTGTCCAGTTATCCTGCAACACATGCACAAAAACATGACCACTGCAAAGCCAAACAGCTCACTCCAAAGTGGGGAAGGGAAGTTTATTTACATTTACATACCAGGTGATCATACCAAGTGGACATGACGTGACCCACCCTGCACTCCTCTAGAATATCACGACAGCACAAGTCCGACAGGCACTGGCACTTCTCTCCAGATGTGTGCTACTACTAATAGTGCAGGATGGGGTCACACTGCTTGGTCAGTCTTTCCAAAGGCTGTCCAATCACATATTGCATTATTTTTAAAAATGTCTATTACAACCTTAAATCTAATGCTTATGGCTAGCATCAGCAGCCCAAGTTAAAATTACAGAGCCTATAATCAGGTTTAAGAGCACATTCAGAGGTTATTAAACCACAATGATCCCATACGATGAGATAAAGAAAACCAGTGGGTCTACCTCTGGCTTTTAAATAAAGAACACTGGTACCAAACCCTCTTTTTTTTTTCATGAATGTAATTTATAATTTAATTTAAATTATCACACAATTAAAAATAATAGGTGTAAGCATGTGATTATTTTTAAATGCCTGGAAATTAGAAAAACGAGAGGAAATGCATGCATTTTAGAACAGCAATTTATCACTCAGAGGTGATATCAGAAGGGAATGTATCTTTCTGCGTATTGTCATATATGATGTCTACAATAAGTCACCCTCACGGAGAGGTACTTAATAACAGGACTCATCAATGTTCTCTAGGAAGGTAGGTAAGTGTCCGAAACGTAGAGAGCCGGGACCCTGCGTGACAAGTCAACCTTTCGCTCCTGTATTAACCTCTTTTAAAAATGGACTTAGCTACACTGAGACATATCTGAAAGTATCATCTATTAAGTATTACTTTAGAAAAAGAAACAACAAAGCTCAGGAGAAGGACAAGAGGACAGAAAAGGGCATGATGATGATACCAGATCCTCCAGGTTGCAGTTTGCGCCATTCTTGATCAGCTCTTTCACAATCTCCAGGTTGCCTTGCTCGGCCGCTATCATCAGTGGGGTCTGGCCGCACTAAACACAAGCAGCACATAAGGGAAATGCGTCAAGAGGCTGGGCTTTCACAGGAGCGTCACAGTTAAACACGCCCACCACGCCTGCACAGTCAGAAAGGAACGCCAAGCACTGGCTGTGGTTAATTTAGAATTAAATAATTAATTTTGAAACAGTTTTGAAACCTTAGTGTTCGTACCAATAGTAAAGAAGTCAAAGAGAAAACTCGACGGAACTTTTCCTGGTACAGTATTTATTTGTGGGGCTGCAATTTTCATTCAAAATAAGTCACCAAATATAACAGTAGTCCCTGGAAAGTCATTTCAGCAACGCACGTAAAAATCTCAGCACACCAATGGCAGTGCACTTCCCTAACAGGTAAGACACGATGTGCAGTGTGATTTTAACTGACTGTGTGGCAGCAATGACAACACAGATGCTACCTTACACGCACACAGCCTAGAAGTCATCCCTTAGAACCTCAATCGATACAACTCAAAGTCCCACTTGTTAGGTTAGGATTTCCAGGAGCTCAGAGCCAGGAAGCCCTCAGCCCTGGAGGCGGTGGGGCAGGTCCCCGAGAACCCCGAATGTAGAACTAAGGTTCTCTCTCAGGCTCTCAGTGTACCATGACATGAGGCCCAATCAGATATTCAAACGCACCAACTGGCTCTTTGTACACCAGTGTGAGGGGGCATCTATGTCTGTTGGTTTTCTTTTAAATACCAATTTGACCACATCATTCCTCTCCTTAAAACTGTTCAGAGATTTTTCAGGGCTGTTTTGGGTAAGAACCAAAATGTTGCCTATGGCTACAAGGTTCTGAGCCCAGTGGGGAGACCACGGGGTCTCTCTCTCTCTCCCCTTCATGAGTGTCCTTCCCTCGCCACTAATGTGCCACAGGCCTGTTCTCACATGCTCCATCCAGTTCGTGACCGCCCACACTCCAAGCTTTCTCCTTCACTGACCCTACAAGCTTCCTTTACCTCATTCCTCTTTGTTTGCCAGTATCCGCTCACTTGGGAAATTAACTGATCACTGTCTCGTTCCCCTACCAGCTCCAACTCCAGAGGCCGGAGAGCCCACCTGCTCGGATGTGTTTAACTCCACAGCTCCACTGTGGGGCAGCAGTTGCCACACAGGGACTCAAGCAATTGGTAAGCAAACATCTGCTCAAAAAACAAATGGTTACCAAAGCCTTAAAGAATTAAAATGTCAAATACAAAAGCAAATAAATTATTATAATTAGCAAAAAAATGATGGATATTTTAAATGTAAAAAGAACCCAAGTAAAGTGTTGAACACAAATACTGTTTTAAATAAAGCACAAAGCTAATCACATTAAATGCAGACCCTTGTATGGAACAACAGACAGTAAATTACAGTCACATGTCATTTACTCATGTCATTAAGGAGTGAGGTATTACACATGGAGTACTACGCGTACACAGGTGGACAAGTTTATCCCTTACGCATTAAATTTGATTATAACTTTCAGACAACCATCACTGTGAAAGGCAATGCACACACTGCGACTTTCTGAAACAAATTACTTTAAACATTATGTTTATGATTCTGAGTCACGGCTATGAGCATTCATTCCTGCACCCGCACGCCTCTCTGTCGGCTCTCCCCTCTGCTGGCACCCCTTCTAGCCTACTGCGGTACAGCACGGAGCAAGGCCATCAGTCTGATACATAGTGTGGCCAATAAATTCTGAATCCATAGCCCTGAGGATACATGAGTTTTACGACAGAACTTTCAAAAGAAGAATTCCAAACACTCAAGAGGACTTTTCTGTTAAGTACATTTCAGAGAGTCCACACAGCCAAAACTGACCACTGAATTGCTCTTTCTGGAGTAGACTGAAAAAAAATACCTCATTATTACCTACGCAGAAAAAAGAAAGTGGTCCACACTTGATTAACTAGAAACTAGTCGAATAAAGCACTTATGTAGCCATCATTTTCCCCTGCGAAAACTTTTGCCTACTTGCCATCTGGGAGTTGCCATTTGGTTAGGAGGTGGCAAAGTGCCCCGCTAGCGTTGAGGACTGTCCACTTGCAGCTAGATGCCATCAGGTGCCACAGCCAATGACAACATGCAGGGCTTCCCAGAGAGCGCTGTCAGGGGACGACTCAGAGGCCTATTCTTTTCTCCCTTGGGGGCCTCTCATGCAGTTACCACACCGGGGCCGTTATCTACACAGCTGACATGCGCTCACAGGCAGTCAATGATGAGTGGCCAATAGGAAGGAGCTTGGGTCATCAGGATATTAAGAGACACTGCTATGTGTTAAATAAAAATCAATGGTTGTTCTCATCAGGTGAAAACCTTTCTGAGACTAAATCAAGAAAGCCCACATGTGCCAGGCCAACCTGAACAGCAACAAGGAGCTATTCCACATATGCTACGGGAGGCACATTGCTAGAAAAATGACTTGACACTGGGGGTGTTTCCAATAAGCAAGGCTACTTTTAAAACGAATGTCAGAAAGGCCATTGCTTTGAAGACACCTCCGTCAATAAAGACTATCCCTATGAGCCAATCAGTGTAGACTTCTCCCTGAAGTCTCCTACAGGCCCCGACGAACCCTGCCCTCCCACTGCTTTCCAATTCTCCAACACCACTCATCAAAGTGACTCAACTCTAATTCTGCTTCCAACACCACCACTCCAGCTTTGGAATGGCTCCTCTTGCTTGTCCTGTGAGAAAAATAAAATCTTTACTGTGTCTAAGCCACTAAGGGGGCCTATTCCTACTTGAAGTTTGAAGCAAATCTTAATTGATATTTTTTTTACAGCTGCACTATCAAAAAATGCAAATACTTTTCGGGAAGAGTTACCATGAAGTTTAATAGATCCCCAAAAGTTAAAGGGTAGTTACTTTATAAGTCAGGCCCTGTTTACTCTACTTAGACACTAAAGTTGGAGGGACAGTGATAGCCCAAACACTGCTCTACTTACAAATGAAAGAAAGAAGAGAAACCCACATGGCTTTTATGTTTCTTTCCAAGTTAAATTTCCTCAGAAGTTATCAGTCAAAACACTAAAACAAAAGACCCTGAGAAGCTACTTTACCCCCAACCTTCACAACAGCCATAATCAAACAATCCCAGGTAGCTTCAAATTGCATACTAAAATTGATACAACATTAAACTAGATGCAATAATTTAATTATATTCACGTAGTGCCATTGCATGCATGGTGCTAAGTTAGGTCCTTTACCAAACATGCTGCATTCTTCATGGCAATAAAATTAATTGTTCTGGTGGCGTACTGGTTACACACTGGGCTGTGATCCACATGGCCGGCAGTTCAAAACCAACAGTAGGTCCACAGGAGAAAGACAGGGCTTTCTACTCCCGTTCACAGTACTGCCTCAGAACGCACAGGAGGTCCCTCTAAGTCCGCACTAACATTGGAGAGTTTGAGATGCTTATCAATGTGATGTTCTCTCTCCAAGTGAAGGTATTTTCTGTGTTTCCTAAGAAATGGTCAATGAAGTGAAATTAAATCTTTTAATGTACTAAAAAAATTCAATTATTATTCCAAATATTCCAACTCATAAAATGACTACTTTTATAACTACTCTATAATAGTGGCTCTGTTTCCAATTATAATTTTTCCTTATCTATAAACAATTCCGTAGAAGGCCTGGTGGAACGGTGGGTTATGCTCCGGGCTGCTAATTACAAAATCAGCAGATCAAGCTCACAAGCCACTCCACAGGAGGAAGAGGAGGCTCTCTGCTTCTGTAAAGACTTACAACATCAGAGACTCACAGGTCCTGTTCTATAGGATCACTGTGAGTTGGAACTGATGCGATGGCAGTGAGTTCCAACCTTTTTTTTTTTTTACTATTCATAATGATAGAGGGGTAGAATGATGTTACCCCTTGATATGGTAGTTACATGATCTGATGTCAATTTGGGACTTGACAGGATTTAGAGTGAAGGGGTGGAGTCCACTCGGTCAGTCGGGTCATACCCAATGAGGCCTCTGTGTGGGCATGGACACACAGGGAACTCCTGTATTTCTTCCTTCCAGGCAGAAGACCCACCCTCTTTCGGGATTCTGGGAACTCCTGTATTTCCTCCTACCAGGCAGAAGACCCACCCTCTTTTGGCTCACTCCCTTGGAGATGTTTTACTGACCAGAAGACACATGGTGCCTGGGAGCTGGAGAAGCCACATGGACCTTCCCTGATGCAAACAGGCCTTGGGAGCCAGAGGAGCCACGTAGAGACCCTGCCACCACTGGATCCACAAAACTTCCAACCCACTGGCCTGTGATCCTCCTGCATGCGTCATCATTCCATGTACTCTGTGAGTCTGAAGAGGACTTTATAGATTGGTATCAGACATATGGGCTAATATTGGACTTATGGACTTGATCTGAAGTGGGCTGGGACATTTTCTCAATATTCACTTGTTCTTGTATATAAATAAACCTCTTTCTTATATACATGAGTGTCTATGAATTTGTTTCTAGTTTACCCAAACTAACACACCCAATATCCACTGCTGTCAACTCAATTCCAACTCAGTGGCCCTACAGGCCAACATAGAACTGCCCCATAGGTTTCAGAGGCAGTAAGTCTTTCTGGAACCAAACTTTCTCTTCTTTCTCTCTGAAGCAGATAGTGGGTTCACACTGTTAGCAACGTAATTCCTAACCTGCTGTGCCACCAGGGCTCCTTATAATGATGTGAACTGACCACAACATATGTTGTTCAATTCTAAAGCCACTGCAAATATAAACATTACCTTTTGATACATTTCATTCTGAAGACTCAAAAAAAGACAGCAGAATAGAAATAAACTGTAGTTTTTTTGAAGTCAAACAGAGCAGGTTCATATGTAAATTAAACCAGGTAATATCTTAGATAGGAATTGAATAGGTTACCTATAATTCAAGATAAATACCAGTAATATTCCCTATAAAGCTATTTAGTCAATTAAATGAGCTAAACTATACAAATACTTAGCATAGTCCATTAAAGTATAAAAAAAAAAACAT